GTCCCACGCAGCCGAACGCCGGACCAAAAAATAATCGGTTTAAAGCCTCCCCTGCGCGCACTCTGACCGGGCTTTGGTTACTTTCTACGAGGGGAACCCGTCAGAGAGCACCCTGACATCCGCGTAGGGAGCCCCCCCCCTCCCCTCCCCTCCTCGCACCCCCCCACACACGGAGTGAAATCCGTGAGAAGCCAGCGGCCGAGGCCTCCGCCGACAGCCCGCAAACAGAGGGTAAACAGCTCTTTGTCAGCGGGACTAAAGCCTACCTCACGCTCAGGCTACTGCGCTCCCCTCCCCCTCCGCGTCCACATCTCCGGCGCTCAGACGGGGTTCGGCGGGGCGGTGCTGGTCCGCTGGACCTCCGGAACCACGGCGCGGGGGAGCTCCGGCTCAGCGGGACGGCATCGCAGACGAGGGCCCCCGGACCGCGGGGGCTGCTTTCAGCACCTGGGACAGAGCCGGGTCTTCAGCACCATGGACAGAGGCCCCGCTGCACTGCCCCCTGCAAGAGCCCGGCGGAGCTGCACGCGCCTCAGCCCCCGCCCCCCTCCTCTTCCTCCTCCTCTTCCTCCTCCTCTTCCTCCCCCGCCAGCTACAGCACGTTAATATTTCAGGAGCCCAGCGGCAGCTGCCAGCCGGGCCCCACAGGAGCACCGGGGGCAGCGGGGCGCAGGGCACCGGGGCTCCGGCTCCACTCCGGGTCCATTCCGGGTCCACTCCGGGTCTACTCAGACCCGTTGTTTTTGCCTTTCTGGTGTCGAACTGTTTGTTTAGAACCCATTGCGCCTGGATGAGAACGATGAGGTCTGAAAATGAAAAGTGGTCTATTTGGGTCCCAGCCTAATGATCAGACTTTTAAAAAAAGTTCACATCGCTCCTTTTCATCTGATTAAATATTCATTCTGACAGACATGTTCAGGACTGACTAAATATATCACAGCTAAAGTCAGAAAAAAAAAAGAATAAAAACAATTGTATGTCATTTATAAGGGGTTATGTGAATACATGATCATTGAACAAAGGTCTGTGAAGTATGGAGTTGTTAAATTATCATGAGTGAAGTGTCCCAGAAGCTCTTTTTTACGTGCAACTCTACCGGACAAGTCCAAAAAGAGGGACATGCACCTGGATGGATGAGGAGGAAAGGAAGGGCACTGGAAGCCATTCATTACTGGGAAATGACACAACTGTGGAAAGGTTCAATCAGAGCACAATTTTATTACCGGAAGATTCAGAATCGCTATTAAATGAAGGTTCAACCGAAACGTGTTCTTGAGAGTGATAAGTTTATTGCGGTGACAGTCCTGTGGACCTCCGCACCGGTGGGTGGCGCTAATCTAGCGAGGCGTCGTTCGCCCAACTCCAAAAAGCCGCGAAGAAGAACAGGGGTAGACGCGGGGGACGGGGCGGAGGAGGGGAAGAAGAGGGAGGAGCTGGCGGCGGAGGGGGAGAAGAGGGAGGAGCGCGGGGAGGAGCGGGCGGAGGAGGGTGGCAGCGCTTCGTACTTCGCGGCGGCTGCTAAGGTTGGTACTGTTACCTGGCCGTGAGCGGCCTGGCGCGGAGAAGGCGGCCGCTGACGATGCGGAGAGTCTGTAAAAATGGCGGCGCGGCTTTCCCAACGGCCGCAGCTCGGTAGAACTCGGTAGAACTCCGCCACCTTCGTAAAAGTTAGCAGTGACTGCATGACTGTGGACACATTGGTGGTGGTGGGGGGGTTGTTGCTGCTTGAGGAGGAGGAGGAGGAGGAGGTGCTCCTTTCAGGAGGACGGGGCGCGGCTTGTTGGAGCTGACTTCCAAAAAAGTTCTCCGGCTCTTTGTTCTCAGGCCGGCCTGTGCGCGGTTCGGCCCAGAGCTCGGAGAACCGCCGTTAATGTGACTCTTCCTCACACATTCC